GGCTTACCTTTCCTCCATGGATGTTCAGCAAGGGGCTCTGAAAACTCTCCCTACGGCAGTTCCGTCCAACCGTTTTCCTAATACTGGCGCGCCTTCGGTCATGTTCCACACCGGAAATCCCCTATCCACCCCTGGGGCCCAGTCTGACTCGCAGCTTAATCCTCTGCCCCCTAACGTCCATTACGCTCTCTCGTATGGCCAACAACCTCAACAAACGATTGCCGTAAGTTGTGGATATCTGTTAACTTTCTTCATTCTTATCCTGTCCTTTGCTGTGCCCAATGACTTTAACCTCTGACGCTAATCGTTCCTTTTCTTGTCCTTTCATTTACAGCCGGGTGGTACCACGACTATGAGTCCACAATTAGTTTGGCTTGCACCAACCTATCCCAATTCCGCTACATCCTCAATGTTTCAAAATTACGGTCTCACTCCAGCCCCTTTTCATTCATCGACGTTAGACCAAACCAAGGTGACTCACGAATCACAACGTTCTACACCAGGCCTTTCTTCGCATGCCAACTATCCCATCGATCGAACATCCATACCAACGGGTGCAACAAACACACTGACAACCATGTTCCAAAATTTAACTGTCAATGGGCCGCTCGAAACTTCACGTTTCTCCGCAGATAGTATGGTTTCTAATGAGCAATCGCGCACTTGGTCTTATCCCAAAAACCCAAAAACCTCAGTCGATGAATCAATATCGAATAATGATCAGAGAAGTGCCATAAAGCAGAGTATTCCTGTTTCCCACGCATTCGAGAACTCGGACAGCGCTTTTGTTGATCCGGTTGCTTGCGATGCGTCTGATTTCATCGCATCTTCCATGCCCACTAGTCTTGCTTCGTTAAATCACTCGAAACATGGAGCCTGTTTTGGAGTTGTTAATTCGTCCAGTGCAGAAATCTTCCCTTCAGTCGAAACCAACACAACCAGCACAAACGATTACGAAATATTTTCTGAGAAGACTACTTTTAATTCAAGGAATGGCGGAGGAGCTGTGCTGGACGTTAATAATTCAGCCCCGAATGGTTTTCAGACTGATCGGATAAAAGGGAATGAGGCTGAAGCCATAGTTGATCAAAAGGTGGGGTCGCAAAGCGATTCCGATTGTGTCGTAACCACACCTGTTTCCAAGCCGGATGCTGATTTGATGGAGTCCTCTTTAGCTCTGTCCGCCACTACTTCTTGCAGTGTAAAGTCGTCCAGCTGATAAAACAATTCAACTCCTTGCTTGTAAAGAACTCGTTTTCCTCGGATATTTTTTTTCTTTATTCTGAGGGTCACGGAACACCCGTTTTTCAGGAACTTATCCTACTTTGTCGACGGTTCCCTACTTCCATTCAACAGGATTTGTACATACATTTTCACGCTGTAAATCATCATTTCTTTCTTCATTATCGGCCGTTGTGATTTTTTCCGTTTTTTCTCACAGGCACTCTTCAAGAGGAATGTCCTATTTAGGATTCTGTGAAGTCGTCCGCTCAAACTTCTTCGAGATTGTGTGCACATTCACTTTGAATTGAGTGCTTGAAATGAATGACTTTGCCACTGGTACTGCCAGAAGCGTACGGGTGAACGCATTTCTCATTCTAGGCCTTTTTCGAACTTTTGTACAATATCTTCTTAGTGCGGTTATAAATTTTCCCGTCCGACTAATTTGACTTCACGAACGACGGAGAATTCAAGACAATGCACTTGTCCAAGAGCCGTACTCACATTTGGTGTTTTAATTTGCCAATCGGTGACGTATTAGTTATGTTGTTAGTTTTTCCGCCACGGATTACAGTTTGCTTATTTAAACAACAGCGAATCGCGGTGATCTTGTTGTATCAGGAGTGGCGTCTGAAAATGTGATTCGCAAATTTGGTCGGCATGTGATTTTTGTCACACCGTCAGATCTGATTTCGATTGTAACCATCAGCCAATCAATGAATCATCGCTGAGGAATTCGAGACAGAATTCAGTTCAGTTTCTACAATCATTACCTATCCACTGTCGTGCGGCGGTTTTTTTGCTGCACACTTGGTTTAAGGGATGAAAGAATGATAGGAAGGTGGAGTCAAAAAGCGAATGGATAATTCCAATAGACTTAGGTTGCACACAGGATGCACGAACATAACCATCTACGTTACTCGGTTTGGGTCCGTCATTGTGAAGAGGTTGGTAGTTCATAGGTAAGACGGTGATGTTTTTTGTGTGAGATATTGGTACCGGATAGGAACATTCCGTAGTTCGCTCACAGTTGAAGTGACGGTCTCCGTTATCCATCCATCTGGTTGGGATTGCATAGGGACCATCAAGAGGCCTTTCTGAATCGTTCAGGGATCCCACTTGAGCATTGAAGTCTCCGACAACTATTACGGCATCCGTTGATGGGACTAAAGTAGGGAACCATCCTTAATTTCCGAGCACATGGCAATCGGTCGATTCATAAACAGACACGACCAATAAGCATCGACGTTTCGTTCGATGACTGTTGAACCGTTGAGACGTGCGGCGAACGGTCGGCCACTGATGAATGCAGTCGAGAAGCGAGCGCTCAGCACTTAGCGCGATTCTGACACCAGCAACACGGAAAGCGACGAAGGTCGAATCGAAGGGTATCAACCACAACGCATAACCACCCCGAAGGAGGGTATATTTCCGTGTTCTGGGAACGCAACATACATCTCAATTGAAGGTTTCAGGGGTTCTAGCTAATGCTGCTTGTTAACTGATCTGATAGTTCGTGCGGACGTTGAACGTAGCTGTTTCAACGGGTGATTTTGACCTCAACAATTCTATGACTTCTGATTGGTTGACTTTATTGGTAAAACGCTGAGTGATATCCCATGGGTGTCGTAAACAGGAGGGAATCATAATGATCCGGGAATGAGAGAAAGAACTGGCAGTGGAGATAATAGTTCTCGGAATGGCCGCCCGAAAACTTCAGGGCACGATATACTTCTCGGTAGCCCACACCGACTCAAAAGTCTGACCCAAATGGTAGTGGTGCATAGGTCCAACGCTGGAGCTTGACCGAAGCTCCCGTGTGGTAGCTTCCAGAAACCTGTCACGCAATGCCTTTGAGTTTTGACTCTTGGTCCGTAGTCAATGGGTTTTCTACGGATAGCACAGCTGGTACGATTTGGGCAAACGGCCGATATCCCATATTTCTGCTGACAGCATCGTGGCTTGTACGAATGCGGTTCGCCACCTGATAAGGTCGTTGTCATTTGCCTACTCATCTGAGTAGGAGAAGAAATGAGAAGAGTGAAAGGTAAGCACCAGACACTGACCCTTAGACCTCACGGGCACGTTGAGATCCTGTATTGGTATGATGAGACTGCACCTTGATGTGATGTGATGGCTTTTGTACCTCGGTGACCCAACGAGCTACACGAGATGGCTCTTGCCGAGCTAAAGATCCAATCATGCCTGAAAGGTCAATGGGTAGAGGTCAGCCAGTCGAGTCTCCAGGTTGGAGGGTTCGACTTGAGTTAGCGTCTCAGTCGGTAAAACTTGTTGGAGGAGTAATTGATCCAAGTTAATGGGCCTTCAACCCCCCCTAACCGCTGCCGTGTGGTTGCGTTCTTGTCAGAAATGAAGGCGTTGGTTAAGAATCCTAACCGTTCTCATACCTGGCGGTTGGACTCCAAGGTAGTACCCGTCCATAAAGCTGTTTTGAACACAATTTAAAAAGAATTTCATGCTGCATCGGTCATCGCGCAGGATAATCAGGACCGCGCTGCCCATTGCCTCGAGCGGGATGGGTACTTGTAAGTGGGCTACCGTTCACATATCCCAACGTGTCTATTTCGCCTGTTCGCCTAGCTTGGAAATTTTTTTTTCTAACGTTTCATCACCAGCCAAGGTGACATCGTCAGTGCTTGTGAAGTGGCCATTTCACAAGGAGCCTTCGACTTAGTTGACCGCGGATCCCTTGTGGGTTCGCTTCTTCGCAGAAGTATGTAAACCTATTGTGGTCGATGTATGTGAATACTTCTGGTAGCGTAAGGGTCTACGGCGAGCTGAGTAGGTTGTTGTTCTTAACTAGCAGCGGTGTTCGTCAAGGGTGCCCTCTCGCCGTTCCTGTTCAATTTCGTCGTAGACGAAATACTGGAGGACGCACTTACTCGTCTCCAAAACGCAGGTATTGAATGGGCAGCTGGATAAACGCTGTGCGATTTAGAATGCGCTGATGATGGTATGGCTGTTCGAGTGTATGGAGGATGCGCAAAGCGCTCTTGACAGAATTTCAAGTTTTGTAATTTCGTTCTGTATACGCTTTACACCTTCAAAGTGCTACAAGACTGGGCGTCGTCTACCCAGCACTGATGCTTGATGGTTAAGAATTAGCTCTAGTGGAATGTTTCATCTACTGAGGCAGCTGCGTTACAAATGACAGTATCATAGTCAATGAAGTAACCGCCCGCATTTCCAGGCTCTAGCAGTTTACGCCTTCGGTGAAAGGTCGTGCATACTGCGCCAGTGTGCGGTCAGTTCCGCTCTATGACTGCGACACCTTAAATTTGCTCGTGGAAGTTATTCGTCGTTTAGAAGTGTTCGACTGCCGATGTTTACGTAGTTTGCGTGGGTTGGATGGAGCGAGCGTGTAGATAACTCTGAGGTAAGTCGTCGCGTATTTGGCGATGATTCGATGGAGAATTGGTTGTCCGAAAGACTGAAATTGACTGGTTGGAGACACTGAGGGATATGGTGACTAACCGACAACAGTGGCGTTCTTGTCATTTCTTATCAGCTCAGAATGCATGAAAAGTTATGTATGCACAGTTAGATTGTATACTCTGTGTGTTGACCATAGATGTTCACTTTCTTTGCCTCCATCCAATTAGGCCCAATCCCTCTCCATCGTGTGATTTATTTGTGTACATTGTGAGTTTAGCAGCGTTCAGTGAAGTTCGCTTCGGTGTTCAATGATGATGATGACTGGTACTGATCAATCCGAAAGGTGTATGAACCGTTCTGACGGTCACCGACTAATAACTATTTTACCCTACAGCTCTCACTTGGTTGTCCATGGGTTAAGATTACATACACCCTCGAACAAAAGCCGAACGACGCTGGGGATGTCACTTAGTACCTCCATGCCGTTCTTCATTCTTCTCTATCATCCAAATGGGTCACCGAAAGACAATAACCAAAACCGGCGCAGGAAAGTACATTTTTAATGATTATCAAAACTGAAACTGAGCTTAGTACCTCATTCCTAAGTTTTTTAATGGATTGTCTTACGACGTTACATCGCGTTCATGCTATGGCGTTCCCGGGAAGCGACGCACCGTGCGCTCCCGGTGACTGGGGGTAACAAATGAGCAAGCTGGGAACCTAAACCATCCATGCATCAGGTTCAGCCACCACGTAGCTTGCTGGGGTGTTAGGAAATTGCTAGATATAAGTAGCCAGTGCTTTACAATGCGTTAACAGCACGACTAAAAAGTAAACATCTCTGTTTGATGTCCGATTGTTAACTGTGACACAAAACAAATCAACGTGTCACAGCGATGCAACCTGTCGGTTATACCACAGAGGACCAAGTGACAATTCCGGAACATACCTTTGTACGCGCCCGCTTCAAGATCCGCCTGACTGTTCGTCGAAGCACTCATCTCCCGAGGTCAATTCAACGTCGCTTTCTTGGCAATATCTGAGAAATCGCAACCGCTTAGAACATGACCACAATCGCTCAAAGATTCAATTGTCGTCGCATAGTGGTCTACGCTGAAAACGTCCATCCTTGAGGCGGCGCCGGGGCAGTTAGGTAAGACTTGACCACAAAAGCGACCGGATCTTTGAGTCTACGCTGTATTTGTCCTCAAAGGTAACAGAGTCGTGGCTGATCAGTCTCCTGAATTCCGTACTCTACGTCGTCAAGCCACGCGCTCAACCAAAAGGGACTGTCAACAATACTGGAAGGCGATTGAAGGCAGCATATATATACTACTTATTATCAAATGTTCTACCAAAACCATCAGGTCACGTTTGTTGCGACTAGTAGCATCTAATCCATTTACAAAACATCGAATCATAGGATTGATTCTTCATTGGACTAGCTCTGAATGAGCTGTCTAACCAATGGTCACCCGGTGTTGCAAACGAGGTTATTGTGACGAAAATACACTTCCTGGGTACAAGTATATGAATGAACTGCAAAGGACTACCGGATACGCATGCCTGACGAGCGGCAAGAACCGTGAAACTGGTCGTGTG